CATGCGAATGATAGCGGGTTCCATCCCATGGCACGCCTTTCCCCTGCCAAGCCTTACAAAGCACACATTGTCCGATACTGTAGACACCGCATTCCCACTGAAGTACTCAGCCTCCGTCATCACAAAGTAATCCACAGCGAGTGCACACAAGCCATAGGCGCAGTCCTCATATTGGGCGTAGTGTTCCTTCTCATACACGCGAGCACCCCGTGCCTTTAGCTGTGGCACTGTGTACGGATCCTGTCCATCGTGTGCCAAGAACATCGGGTAGGAGAAGAGCCGCAGCCCGAGCGACGCGTGTAGTGCTGCGAGGTACGGGATGCTGATATTGCACTGCGCACGGATCAGCTGCTCTCGCTCACTTCTCAAGGTCACACCAAAGTGAGTCCGTAGCTGTGGAAGTGATTCCGTTAGAAAATTATTGCACTTCATTTCAAGGTGTCGCTTGTGCACCGCAAAGAACCGACCACGGGGGCCAAAGGAATGGTTAAGGAACCGTTTGACCCTCTGGGCAATCAAAGCTGATGGCCGCAGAAGACCATAAATTGCCGCATGATCAGACAATCCACGTGTCATCATGAACGCCGCTACGGACCTAATTATTACAATTTCCGCCTTGGAGTTTTGAGGATATTTGAAGAAGTACTGCTGAAGGTAGAAATGTGCTTCTACATGGTTCCATGGAACATCTGGTGTATAACTTTCAATGATCTCTATTTTTACTTTGAAACCAAAGTGCATTATCGCACTCCTACATATCTTTCCGTCAAAGCATGCAATTGTAACAGGGGTTAATGGTATTCGACTTGACAGACGCTTGCGCATCGTATCAATAGACACAACACAATAGTGCCGTGCAATCTCAGAAAAGTTATACAAATCACTGTGAATTACCCATTTGTTTTTGACGAAAAACGGACCTAGCACAGCTGTGCGATTCAAACGTTCTGCCCACATTATGATGTTCATCATCATCTGCAGCTGATTGTGGTGTCGCGTAACACCACGTTTTAATCGGACAAAGATATACCTATCCGGGCAGACAATATTTGATTCGTTGTGGTTATAGGAGACCACTCTTGCTTGGAGCTGGGCGACACGTTGCTGCTCCGCCTCAGTGAGTCGCAGGGTGTCCTGAGCAGCGTCAAAGGCAAAGACAGACGACACTCCAAGACTGTGCGTCTGCCCATCGTCGACAGGCTCCACAACAGTACTGAAGGGATTCCCCACACCACTGAAGTACACCCAATTAGCAGTGAAGAGAAACACCACACAGAGGAGCACCAGGGCATAGAGGACGACCCGGGGGGTTTGGTTCAACAGCCCCATGGAAGGCTGCAAGGTGCAGGTAATGCCTGTTGTACCCTAGTCTGACAGGGGGAAAGCAAAGCAGGGAAAAGAGCGAATGCCTCGTACTTCCACAGAGCACAACAAATGGTCATTGGCAAAAAGAGAGAGTCGTTAAGGTTCACGTACACAGACATGTCACAGAATGGTTAAAGGACACTGCTGCTCCCACAACAGAGGCAAGAGAGAGGCAGTCGCCCCACGGCAGCAAGGCTCTGGGTGGCCACAGCGGATCAACACCACAGAAGCCTAAAACTCATTACAATAAGAGCCCACTGCATCAAAAGACTCCTTCTTCTCCCGTGCTGTGAATAACGTATTTCCTGCCGTGGGTCGCTTTTCTACAGTCTGACGAGTTGTTTATTTTATTATATTTTTTTTTTTGAAATTTTAAATGAAACCGCTGTATATTTGAGTAATGTGTGCTAATATTCGATGAGATATGTGTTGGTTGGTTTTGTGATGACGTTTTACAAAAATTCTATCGAATGTGCTTTTATTTCTTTCCTACTCCCGACCTCTTCAATGACAACGAATTCCTGGGAGAACTACTGTTCTGCTTATGTTAGTAAAGGGTGCAATTTTTGTTTCGCAGTTGTGTATGCAACCCAAATAAATGGACGTGGGGTTGGTGTGATGCTGCGTGATGTTTTTTTCATATTTTGATCCCCAAATTCCTTTCGGGTGAAATACCTTTGCTACTGGTTTTTCAACTGCCTCCTGCTGCCCCACCTCCCCCCCCCCTCAATCGATATGTGAGGCAAACTAACAGCAAAAATTCTGTTTTTGTTGGCGTGCTGGCTGGCTATCACAGATAACTGAGGAAGCCCAAACGCCTTGACGTAATATTTGGGATGTCGTAATGTTTACATAACAGGATTATAGAGGTTCCAAAATCGGCGTGTATGATGTCCACACCAGACAGAAAGTATACTATAAAACTCCTATTCAAAATAGCATGATTTACCGTGTTCTCATCTGTTAATCAAGCACGATATCATTCCAAGAGATCCTGATTCTTGATATGCAACAGTAAAGAGTGTTGTCGCCCAGAGAAGTCCTGTGATGTACAGATAAGATCGCACATGAATGACCATCTTGAATGGAATCTACTCTTTCTCTCTTGGGATTATCCATAGCTGACAACACAACTTTGCCGGAGATTTTAGTGAAAAAATTATGCTCATCATCCTTTAGTTGTAAATATCCTTCCGCATTCACCAGAGCAATATTGTCTATGAACTGCATGGTAAATAAATGATAAACTAACAACAGACCACTTGCCTAAGATCCCACCAGAACGCACTCCCGGAGTAATACAAAATCAAACACATCTATTGCAGCGAGACACTACCGACAGTGATAAATCAGCTCCCCCACCACAAATCGATTACGTAATGGATCTTGGTTCACTAGAGTGACGCTAGAAACATAGAATTTGACCTTCACACTTTTCTAAGAAGACAAAAAAAATCAAAAAAGCGATACATCCATAAGGTCATCTAAAACGATACAACAACTAAAAAAAAAAAAGAAAAAGAAAAAATTGATTTATTCTAACAAACTCTGTATTGCCCCATTCCACATATACATCCCAATTATCCCAGAATTAATTTCACATACCTTAAACACAGAACAGACGAAATGAAAGTGCTGAGAAGATATTTAACCCGACCACCAATCAGAAGGAGGTAGGCTGGGTGGGCCCTCAAAACCTTGCATTTGTAGAGTGTAATGGAAAGATAAAATTAAGAAACATGTTTTCATGTATTAAAATTATTTGCATAATAAAATTTTTAGGTGGCGTTTTTTTTTTTTTTTTCCTCAAGCCTTAACGTAATACTAACACACACAAAAAAAAAAAAAAAAAAAAAAAA